AAAATAATTGACTAGAATTTATTTTCCAGAGAATCGTTAATTAAGTGTGTTTGATTGGTTTAATTTTTCACCCAAATTTTTTTTAAAATTTTGGATCTTTTTGTATTCGTTTGACTTTGTTTTACATGGAAATTATCCATTAAAGTGATAATTTTTTCCATAATTGATTATAAAATTTGTTTCCATTGCCAAAAAGTTAAAAAAAAAAAATTCCCTAGAAAATCAATTTTTTAATTAAAGTTAAGTGTTCGTTTGATTTTGTTTTACATGAAAATTGTCTATTAAAGTGAATTTTTTTTTTATAATTAGTTATAAAATTTGTTCTAATTGCAAAAATAAAAATAAAAAGGTGGAATCCCATTTTCCCACCAAAATGGTGGGAAAAGCAATTCCACAAAAACCAAACAAATGTGGTGTGGGCAAACGGGAAAAGGTTTTGCCAAGAAAATATTGTGCATCAAACAAGCCAAAGGTAAGAAATGGAAAATCAATTCTTAGTTTCATGGAAAAGAATGGTAAAAATAATCAACGGTGTACTTCCATTTCTCAATTCAAAGCTCCTTGCTTTTGTATATCAATAGAGTTCTGTGAAAGAGAATGATGGATAAACCAATTTTTACTCTTGATAAAGGTACAACGTGCACAGCATGGAATTATCGTGGCCAGAGGAGGTTAGCCGCTGGTTCAACTGATGGTACACTCGCTATCTACGATTCAATGGACCCGGCTTCTTCAAAAAAATTTAACTGTACCGCCAGATTTAAGGTCGGTAATGGTATAGCCAGCTTATTTTTAGTATTGTTGTTTTTTACTTTTTGCATGTTTTTATCAACCTTTTAGAAGTTCAGATATTCTTCTCTCCCCAAATGGGTATACGCTGTTAGGAATTTCTTTTAAAAGGAAATTGGTAATATTTATGCAAATGGGAGATCTTGAGTTGTGCTTGCTAGCGTGAAGAGGTCACACAAGTTGTTCGAAATATACTTAATTATGCTAAGTGGAAATAAAACAATTTTCAATTCCCACCAAGGATCTACAATGTGTTTAGATAGAAATTGTGATAAGAATTATACATTTGATGAATTCTGCAAACTTCTTTACTGATTCTCGAACTTCAATGATCACGATCTGCAATCCAAACTGTTTAATTGTCCAGCCTCTTATGATGATTCACACAGAGAACGAGAATGACGGCTAGGGTTTTACTTTTCTTGTGTTAGCAAGAATAATGAAAACTCTCTACAATTTACAAACCCTAACAGCCTATTAATATAAGCTCAAGTGGGCGGCCCATCTCTAAACTTTACCCAATCCGATATTTAATTAATCAAATTAATTAAATTCGGTCCATGAATTAATTAATTCGGACATATTAATAAGCAACTCAATTAATTAATTGTCCAACACTTGTCAATTAATTAATTGGTAAATTTCATTCTTCTGGTTCTTTTTTGTGTGTGACCCATTAGGTTCCTGATCACGATACCTAACGACGTGAATTATTATTTTGATCTAATCAAAATCGATAAATTAAAAGACCCCTTCTAATTTATCACTAATTCACATTTGTCGTCCTGGATTGACATCTAGCAACGTGTCGGGCAATACATGTGATGAGAAATGTCACGTGATGTGACAAACCAAACTTGTTCGTTTATCGTGAAATTATAATCATTTCGGCAATATCATCCAATCAATAATGAGATATGGATATGTGTTAATCTCAATTATCGATCATATCTTTTATCCCAGTGTTAAATCAATGTAAGTCGAAAACTCTTTTTCGACTTATGAGTTCACATTGGCTAAGGATTTCATTATTAACTTAACTGTATAAAATGTAGATCATAATCTCTTACTATCTAAGAGCGACGAATCCTCTATTNTCATATAAGGTACTATAATGACATCAAGTCAAAGGACCAATTCCACTACCGAACGTTAGAGATTAACCACTAACACTCAAATAGTTATCCATGTGGAATCTCCCAGCGGGTCTCCAATGTTTTGTTCTATAACAAAAATATCCACGTGTTCATTCAAGTGTCACCACACTTTAACTTGTGAGATCAGCTACTTACTTCATAAGTAAGAATTACACACGCGATGATCTATAGTAATAACGATATCTGTATCTCGTTATTATTTCGACCACGGACGATTTAAGATTTGATCATATGTAATTTGTATTTCACAATCACAACTCTTTGTGATTAACAAATCACAAAGATTTGAATTTACGGATTCTATTATTTAATTTATTAGAATATTAATTCAATTAAATAATAGATATTGTCATACATATGCATTAATTATATATATTTAAAGTGTTTATGTCCAAAGTTGATTGGACATAGGGCATAACACTTACACAAGGTACCTTGATCAATTTGCTATTTTGTTTTTCTCTTTTAGAAAGTTTTAGTTTTAAAAGCCAGATAAATGATGAATGAAATTGATTTCTGAACTGGCTTGTATCTTTTCATAGGAGGATGGAAGCTAGATTTTATGTTGTTGAATGTGAGATAAACTGTAGAATACTGAACTTTTCTTGCAGTATCTATTTTTCGGCAGTAGGCTGCCAATTATTGTCCCCATTTCGTAGAGTTGGATTTTCTTCCATTACTATGTTTTGTCATCGTTTGGAAATCGAGTATCAGCAACTATCTGGTACCTTTTTATTTCACGACATGTTGTAAGGGTTTAAACATTGTTCGTTTTTGTCATCCTCTTATGTTTTGAAAGAAGCACAAGTCAAGTTCTAGATATTCAATTTGGAGATTCTCATACATGTCTGAAACTGGTAGTCTTCCTATTAATTGCTTATAACTCCCTCTCTGCATTTTTATGATGTGCACTAGCAGACACGGTTCACAAAAACCTTAATGGCTTTGTATACTTCCAGTGTCCTTTTGTTATTTATTGGCGATATAGTACAAAATCCTTCTTATCAAAAGAATAAAAGGTATATACAAGGTATATGAAATCTTCTGAAAATTGAAATAAGAGCAAGAGAGAATGTGTCATTTTTTGGGAGAGTGCACTTATTGTGCAACTAAAACATAGGAGCATCTCTTCACGTTCTTTTATCCTAAGAGTGATTAAAGAATAACTAAGATATACAAAAATGGAACAACTAATTTTGTTTAGAAGGAAAGAAGGGGAGCATCCAGAATCTGAGATGTTACCTGATATAATCTTCCTACATTAAAACTCGTTATATTTGCTTGTAGTGCTTTAGTAAACTCTGCAAGTAAAAAATGAGATACATTAAAACTCGTTATATTTGCTTCAGTTAGCTTATAATTTTTCTTTTCTTTCTTTTTTCCCCTATTTCTATCTTAACCAGTCGTGTCACAGGATATAAATAGGCCAACAACTATAATCAACATATTTTTCTACATGGGGTGCATGTGCTTGTTCATGATATGAAACAAGCATTGAAAGACGTAAATTACAACCCATTGCTTACCCTTCACTTACAAATTAGCTTGGGTAGATAACCATGGTTATCTCAATGGACACTTATCTTCCTATAAAGATCAGCTTGATACAGAGATCTTCATTTACTGGACTATCTCAATCTTTTTGTGCAATTACATTAAATGGTTTAAAATACAATCCCTTCAACCTTAAAATCACTAGCAAATTACAATATATAAAAATGTGTCATATTTTTTAATAAGCTGACTTTTATTCCTGAATTTACTTCCTGCAAAGGTTGCTGCATATTCTGATGGACAAGTGAAAATTTTTGAGCTTCTAGATTCACTTGTATTGGAGAAGTGGTAACTGCAGGTATTTTTATCGTTCGTTGTTTTATTTTAATGTGTAATGTTGCTGCTTAACAGAAGCATCTGTTGGCATACCTGTGTAAACTGTAGATGAAGTGTTGTTGTTGCATATAAGCACTTCAGACATGTATGAACACTGCTACAGTTCTCGTTCTCTTAAAAGTGATTTTGTGTTCACAAGTTTTTACCTGTACTGTATCCTGAGATCACTTTTTTTGTACATATTCTGTATCGAATTCACCCTTTTTTAATGCAATTGAATCTGTAGTTTTTTCACAATTCCAAAATGTAACGGGAATCGTGTTTTCATTCTGACTTCACCTAATTAGCTCCCATAGTACTTAAATGCCATATATGAGGATCAGGTCTTTGAGCATCATTTGAGTTGTGCTTTAACTGATATAGGCACTTGAGCTGCTTATGATGTAAGAGAGTAAGCCATCAAAGCATAATTAATCTTCATTATTGACTCTACTAGAGAAGAATAATATATGTTTTAGCTACTTGGATTTTCCTGTCATTCACCATCGATGGAGTACTGGTTTGGGTTATTCATGCCTTGCACAGCAAATGTTTTTAGCATTAAAGAAGCTTTACTTTGATACATTTGTAGGCTGAATTTTGAAACGTAATTGATTTGGTCTCTAAGCTTGGGAATGCTTCATGCTCGTCTGCGTCCATCTCTTGGAATCCACAAAGAGTAAAAGTCCAGCAGTCAAGCTTTATCTTGGGCTTCAGCTCGAATAGTCCCATTCTTAATTCCTCTAAGGTACACATTTTGATTCTTTCGCTATATGTTTCTGCACCAATGTGTTCACATTGACTTGCACAGTTACATGACATTATGATTTACGTGTTAAATTTGTAAGTAATACGGCATCATAACTTTTGGGTATACATTTTCAGTTTGGGACTTCTGGCATATATGCTTTTGTTTGTCTCAGTTTCCATAATTTGATGGTTGGCCTTTCTGTGGATACAAAACCACTTGATGCACTATAACCTGCTTAAGTTGTTACAATCATATTTTATATCACACAGTAACGGCCTCTTGTCTGATAATTTCTTAGATTTGTACCTGTGTATGGATGCTCATTTGCGATGTACTCATTATAGATTTCAACAGGGGTGGGAGTTTGACCAGGATCATCAAAGATGGCTTCCAGTTGCAGAACTTGCTTCGCCAGACGATAAGAATGATCACGTTTTTGCGGTTGCTTGGGCACCAAATATTGGAAGGTAGCACAGATATCAATATTTCCCCTTCTCTCTCTTTTCTTGATAAGCTTCCTCGGGAAAAAAATTTACTTAATGCATCTTAGGAGCTTGAAACAGAAGGATTTCTTACTCCCCTTCATACGACTTCCCATTTAACTTTTATGTAGAGGGAGGATTTGATGTTTTGACGTAACCTGAAATTTAGGCGGAATTGAATTAATTTATTCATAGACAATCAATCCTTTATATATTAGAATAATGTTATGTGGCACTACTGGTGCTAAAACATCACCTTATGTGGCAGCATATGATAGGTCCACTTAAATGGATCTTATAACACCACTTTTAAATGGATTTATTAAGAAATATATTCCTAACTATAGAAGGACCACTATATTAAGTCCTTAATAAACTAGGATCAAGAAAATAATGGACTTAAGGTAAAATAGGAAAATAATCTCCTATTCCAATTACATATATTCTTCAAAGAGCCATTTTTCTTAGCCAATTCCCTTGGCGGCTGGTAGGGTGACGGGGAACCACATAGTCTAAGAAGAATATACACTGTAAGTGTGAAGATGGCACAACCTTGCTGACTGGAATTGTTGACCAGTTAATTGATTCATTGATTTTAAAATGGTGCAAAGTCGTGTTTGAATTAGAAAAGCTGTGTTTCTACCTTTTGAATGGATGCTCTACATGTTGCCAAGTATCAACCCCACAACTGTTGGATGGAGACCTTTGGGTGACTCATTTAAATAGCATTCTAGGGTTGGAACTGTACACTCTCTTTGATTTTCTCTCCTCTCTGTGCCGTTCGAGTTTTTCCTCACCTTCTCTTTGCAAATCAAAACTCTCTTTTGATTTGTTACTTTCTCAAATATTGTAATCTTGAGTGATTTCTATTTGATTAGAATATTTTGTTCTTGTGTGAACGATTGATTGTTGAGTGAAGGATGAGATACTATGATCTATAATGGTTACTGTCTGAGTGTCTAAATCTGGTCATTCTTACCTTGGTAGTGTTCCATTTTGAATGGTGGTTGCTTCAGTGACTGAAGTACTAGTGTATTTTGGGTTTTTGTTTTAGGGCAACGTTTAATGAAGTTCCTTTTTCTTTACTATCTTTGTTCGTTTACGTGCATATTTTGTTGTTATTGAGCTAATCTTGTTGGAACCTCCTCCTAACAGTAGGAAACATGTTAAATTTGGATCAAATTGCAGACGTGTGAAGTGAGTGATAAAGAAGATGGAGTACTGCTCTATGCAAGAAGTCAATGTAATACTATGAATATTGTTGTAGGATCCAAGCTTAAGCTAGTTGAACAAAGTATTATTTTGTTTTTTATCATTTCATGAATTTCAGGCCATATGAATTGATAGCTGTTGCCACTCACAAGGCATAGCCATCTGGCACCTTGGCTCAAACCCTGATTCAAGTGGGAGGCTCTTCACGGAGAAGATTGCTGTTCTATCTGGTCATGATGGCGAGGTATCGACTTCCCCTGCCATTTCATATACTTGCTATAAGGTTTATTTGCTGTCTAATGGCTGATCGAAAATGGAAATTATTGATACAATTAGCGTTTAATTGATACACTCATATTAAACTCTTACTTCTGAATTTCGAACTCAGTATTTATGTGACCGGACACACCAGTTTGTGTTTCTAGACTCAAATTACATTTTCTTTTGACAGAGATGCAACCTTCGGCTAAGCTTTAGTAAATTTTTGTTTACAAATATATCCAGATAGATTACTTTCTTCTTGCTTATAAGTGAAAAATTTACTTATTTTAACTGTAAGGCAAGTGATACTTGAAAACAAGTAATTTATTTCCAATTCTGACCACTAAGAAATTAGTTTCTTTTAAAACTTATTTACTCACAAGTAAAGTCACATACATAAATAATTATGGTGAAAAAGAGTTGAATACTGAACTTAGTTCGTAAATGTAATGGCCAAGCAGGGACAGCTAATATATTATTTTGTGGACAGGTATGGTAAATGGAATGGGACATGAGCGGTATGACATTGGCTTCTACCGGGAGTTGTTAAGTTATGGCAGTCAAGTTTAAACGGCGTTGGGCATGAGCAAGCCATTTTGGCACCCGCCAGTTAGCATATCATTTCTGAAGTGGTTATTCCTTGTCTCCTTCCACGGGAAAAGAACTCGTATTCTTTATTCGCTGTAGCCTATTTTATCCAACTCTTGGGTTACACGTCAATATATGCAAATTTCTTATAATAGAGAGTAGCGATCCGAAATTCGGCTTTCGTTCTTCCTCTATTTTATTTATTCTCTTTTAATTTTTGTTGAATAAAATATAAGCCCTTTCTTTATGAATTATACTAAGTGTACGTTCCATGGTATACACCTTTGTTGACATTGTGTAGGAATTCAACAAGTGTTGGACTAGAAATTGTGCGTTTTTTTAAAAACTGTTCAATCATGTGTCGACATGTGGTAGTTAAATAAAATGTACACACAGCATGATTGCTTTTTCTTTATTAAGCCCGTATTTGAAAACTATGTTAATTCTTTTTTTTGGGAAATGAGTTTTGAGATAGTAATTTTTGAGAGAATGTGTGGTTAAAAATGAGTTTGGAAAAAAAAAAAAAATTGATTTAATGAATGTCAAACAAAGGTTTAATGGGTCTCTTGAAGATATTTTGCTAATTTAGTCCTTGTTTGAGCTCCATAATTTGAAAAAAAAAAAAAAAGTTTTGAAATATTGTTTTTTGAAGAATGTGTGGTTAACAGTAAAGAAATTTTTTGAATTTATGTGTAATATTATTTTATTGATAGAATGTGTGATTGATAAAAGGAGAGAGAAATGAATTAAAATTTAATGGGGCCAAACTGAGGCTTATGGAATGTTAAGAGCAAAAATACGATAGAAAATTAATTAGAGACGAGCTTTCAACTTTCATGAAAGGTTGGGGACACAAGTATGAAAATTTACCCTTAAAATGCATTCGTACGTACATACATATTGGAAAACTAACTCTAAATCTAGAAGTCAGCAGAATATTACTGTAAAATTCCCATTCGGATTCTCCAGAATCGGAGAAATCCTACGATTTCCTTATTCATCAAACCCGCGAGAAATCATGGTGCGAAGAAAAGTAGAAATCAAGGCAATTGAGAACATATCAAAGAGGCACACAACTTTCACAAAAAGACGCCAAGGCCTTTTCAAGAAAGCCAAAGATCTGTGCACAAAGTGTGAAGCAGAAGCGACAGTAATCACTGTCTCCAAGGCTGGAAACATTTTTGCTTTTGGGCACCCGGCCGTCGACCCGGTGGTGAATCGGTACCTTTCCAATGGTAATGGTGATGAACGTGTGCATGGTGGAAATTGGATGGTGGTGGCGATGGAGGATGAGGAGATGCAACTGCTGTCGAAGGCTGAGCGGAAGATTCAGAAGGTGATGGGGAAGGGAAGGCAGGAATGGAATTTGGCGATTGGAGATTTAGAGATTAATGAACTTGATGAAATGGAGGCGGTGATTGAAGATATTAAGAGAATTGCAGCAGCGCGTGCTGTGGAGATTGTGGCTGGCGGCGGCAAGGATCAAGACGTTAAGTGTATTGGGAAGGATTCAATTGTGCCTTATCTTAGGAGGTGATTGCAGAACCCTAGTTTCTGATATACAAACACAACATGGTCTATTTGTTTTCTTTAGCCATGGAAGGTCTGTTTTCTTTATGTTTTTTTGGATTGGTGTAAGAAGTCAATAATTTTTTTTTAATTTTTTGAGTTTACGTTGTTTATCATTTGAACTAGAATCGAACTTATCCTTGGATTTTGACAATGATTATAATTTATCGACTTTTCAATCATATATTTCATCCGTTTTTATTAAATACTTAGTCAAATAATAAGGCTATACAGTGGAATATAGAATTAGGGTTTAGAAATGGAATATTAGTTCAACAATGTCAACAAGTTGATAGAAATTTGAGAACAGTTTCAAAACAAAATCAAGAAATGAAAAACTCATGGAGTGTTTAAATTTTAAAAATAAAGTACTATGAATAAAAATCGGTGACTGATTGGACGGATAACGAGTGTAAAAGGTGCTATGTAATTCGATTTACTTATTGACAAAATATTTTGATTCCATCCCGTTCCATCAAGATAGGAATAGAGAACAAGCGTAAGAATATCTCGTGAGAAAATTTGTATGCGTATCGATTTAAGAGTCTAATAAAATACAATTATGTTGTAAGTACATAATGACTTACATTAAGGTTTACATTTTTTCATGTGATTTGATCTACACCATTTATTTTAACTACAACCATCACATCATTGTCTAAATTTGTCCAATTATGCTACTTGTACAAATGTGGTTTACAAAAGTGTGTTGACAAAATGATGTGTCAAAATCTAGGTCATTGATTTCAAAAATTGTTTTTTAAATCATTGGCCAAAATGTTGCCAACACGTATTTTGTGAACCAATTTTGTAACATAACTTTGTACAAGTAACATGACTCAAATTTGTCACATAGGAAGAGTTTCAAATACATTGTCAACCAACAATGTACATATAAGTTTATTCAATAAAATAATACTTGCACCTGACATTCAAATTAGTATATAATAATACTCTACAATTTGTTTAAATCACAAATAATATATATAACTCTTGTTCACGATGGACATGATAAAACGGTCCACTTGTTGATGTGGTAGAAGAACTTTACTTTTGGTTCTCTCCAAGTGGGCAAGATAAGACTTCTTAAAATTCCCGTGACACCACTTTATGATTACTCGAAGTTCTACTAGACTTTGTTGCCTTTTTCGTAAAAGCTATTAAATTTGTGGTTAGCTCCATCCTACGTTGTTTTGCGGGCACACTCATGCCAAGTTCGATAGTCATGCATGAGCATTGAGTTTGCCTTTACCTGCTAATGGGTTGTGCATCTATGCTTGATTGAACCCAAGCTGCTAAGTTTGGCTATGGGTGCAATTCCACATTGCTTAAGCATGCCCTTCATAAGGTAGCCTTTTATGCGAAGCTTAAGTTATTTTGTAAAATGTAAATTAAAAACCGAACAGAGAATTAATCGTTACTTATTTTGTAAAGAAAGAAATATAACAGAGCATCCGCTTGAAATGGAGTGTACGTAAGTTTTTAATTTCGAACAAGCCATGATTAATCATGAATTAAACCTTCAAACTGAACATGAAATCATGGATCAAACGATGGAATTTGATCAACAGGACCCGACAGAGCTCGATATGTTGTCCTTTCAAATACATGGCGATATGGATCCTCCTCTCGCTTCTTGAGCAAATAATCCACATTTCTTATGATCTCAGATTTTACCTGCAAATAAAGTTCCTTGCAAGCTTCTTTGTTTTTCAGAAGCTCTTCCCTTCCCTTTGTTTCAATTGGCTTCCCAAACAGAAAATAAAACCGGCCTGGAATTTTCGGATAAATCCCTGGAACAAAAAAATCTTGATTTGCTACTTCTCCTGTCACTTGAGTCCCTGTCCTTACTTTGGTCATAACAGTATTTCTTGTTTTTATCAATTCCTTAATAACAGGAATTTCAATCACATCGTTGTAATCAAGAAACTGTTCCATTATATCATCCTCACCAACTACTCCAAACGGAACAATTGTTGCCCCGAATTTTAATGCCATTCTTACGAATTCGGGCTCCTCCGGCCAAAACAGCTTGTACTTTTCTCCTTTCCGGTGTAATGCCTCCCGTACACCGCCGGGATAGAGAAGAACATGACATTTGTTCGACAGTAACTTGTAAAAGTTTCTTGCTGTTACAGGAACTGCCCCGAATACTCTAAACCTATCGAACCCAGAAATAACCTGTAAAGGAGCTTCAATATTTTCTGAGAAGATTTCAGGATGTGCAACTCCATGAAGCACGATTTTCTTCTCTCTCAAGTATTCTTCAACAATGCCTCCAATTTCTGCCCCGTAAAACATGTGATTACCGACAAGCAAAACCGGGCCTCGATCTGGAATCCCCGACAGGCCCCTCACTATTTTTCCATTTTCCAGAGTTGAAAACATTACAGGGCTTGTAGCAAGGCGGAATAATCCCAGTAGTTCATTGAATGTGCCCCTGAATTCTGACTTACTGGGAGGGATGAAATCTGAGACGAAATCGTGTGTTTTAGAACGCCGGTATGTGCTAGTACCTTTGATGATTGACAAGAGATTGATCCCATCTTCTACCAAAAGGGTGTGGCCATTGTCGGGGAAGTATCTGTTTAAAGCAAAGTTTAAATAAATAAATATCCCATCTCGAAGTAAGCCCTAATCCTAATCTATTGCAATAATAAATGAAACAAGAAGCGAAACACTTGCGTGTAAGCACATAAATTTATAGTGTTTCAATTTGAATGTAAAAGTCATGGGAAAAAAAAAGAAGTTTCCGGCCAAGCCACTACGCCGGGTGCTGGCTCCGCCACCGCTTACTGCTACAGATTTTGGGCAATGTCTTTTATTCCTTAAACCTCTCCATCTAATCTAATTGTCTCACCTTGTCTTTCAATTGAAATACTTAGACACAGATTGCTCCTTGGGGTGATTTGTTCTGATTGTTGTGTTGTTATTACACTCAAGTTGGCAGAAACCGTGATTGCAGCTCAAACTATATTGTCCTACTATCTTTTTATATTCACAACTGTCATAGTTAACAAGGTTGAAGCTTCAAGGAAAAATGACATCCTGGATTCCTTAATACAATGTAAGAAACTAGAGCAATTAATATAAAAATGTGTGCGACAACTTACTATATTGGTAAATTACTGCAATGGCTCCAGTTCGAAACTATAGCTTAATCTATTAGACGAGATGACCAAATAGTACCTGACTTTGCAATTCTCGAGTGAGTCCAAGAGTCTCCCTGCTTCTGCGGCACTAGGAAGCATGTTATCCTTGCAACTTGCGAGCACAAGTACTTCACTTTTCACAGCATGTAGATGTGAATTGGCATGTGCAGCTCCAGATTTAAGCAACTTAAATTTCCAGGACAAAGTTTCCTTTGGTAAAAGATCAGCGAAGAGAGTGGCACCTTCCACCAGAGCCTTCACATCACGAAACAAGTTTTCCATTTTTTTGGCAGGGGAAAATGGACTATGGACATTAACATTTGCCATCTTGATTGGGTTCCCTAATCCGAGGCCAAAAATGTAAGGAAGAAATTTATGAAGTTCTTTAGGACAAGCCTCCATGAAAGGGAACATAGGCTGAAGTTGTGACCTGCTGAATGATGTTGCTGCAATAAAGTGAGAGAAACATTGCAAAATGAGACGTACCCTTGAACTGGGGACATACTCCTCACGTGTTAGAACTATAAAGAATATGAAGTTTGGAGGTACCTGGATTCACCAATATTACTACTAAATCGATATTGGGATTAAAAGCAGCAACAGACAGTGCTAGGCATCCTCCAAAAGATTCTCCCACCAAATAGATCGGCCTATTTGGAAACAAGGTATGTTCACTTCTCACTTTGTCTGAAGCAAATTTCACAAGCCCTTCAAATGGTGTTCGATCATATACAGGAATATGCATACATTGAACTTCGAAAACTTTGCCAATGGCCTTGTGGTGCACTATGAGCCCCATGCCAAGTCCATCAATCCCTGCACAAGGATAATTTCAACTACAAAGCAATTAATTAAGTCTTATTGAGTCGACTAGGTGAATTTTCCTGTCACCTTGCTTGATCCAATGTCATGTTAGTTTGATGAAAACATCTCCCTATGCTTTGTGTTGTACCTTCTGCAGCGATCTTGTGTCACATAGTACTCGTGAAAAATATCTCTTATGAATTTATAAATACATTGAACATTCTCTCCTTACAAGCTCATAAATGTGAGTTTATCAAAGTGGTCCCTTCTTATGGTTGGGACGACGACCTAGGGAGTTCTACTTCCATTAAAGACTAGTTCATAGTCCCCTAAAGAGGATTATAAATACACAAACTGTACATTAATAAATGATAAAATTAGTGTTGATTTTTTAGATTCTTTATTGATTGTCATGCAAATACCTGGTAAGAACAGAAGAACCGGTGAATTTTCAATCGGTGGCCCAGATTCAATTGGGCAAAACCACCGGGGCGGTCCATTATCTGGCATAATCATATCCTTTGCTGCCTCCAAGTAATCCTTAGCCGTTTGAGTCCCATATCCATCGTCCCACATAGGCTCCAATTTCTCTTGAACAAAATATTTTTTCTTGAAGCAATTATTTATAACTGATTTTGTATTTCTTGAAGCAACCCGAACCGGATTGCAGTGTTTTTGTTTTGGATTTAATAAAACCATAGGAGGAAATATGTTTTCCATTGCCATGGTTGATCCTTGAAGCAATTGCTGACAAATCATAGAATGTTTAGTTGCACTTGAAATTAAGTTAAACGTACCTAAGTTACTTATTTTTAGAGATGTAAAGGATAGAAAGAAACACAATAAATGTGTTACAAGATAACTAGAAAACATTAGACACAGATACAACACGTTAAAGGACGTATAAATACGCACAATAAGGTCTTGTTGTTACCTGATAGGTCACAAAGACAGCCAGCCAATGACTGGAAATTGAAGGTTAACTCAGAATCCAACTATGAAGTTGAATAAGATCTTACAGACAAAAGTTACTAGATTAATAGAGTTAGGAAAGGAAATGTGTTGGTTAGAGTTCCTTAAACTCCTCTAACAAAAACAATCACACTTTCCATGCTTACTAATAAGCTATTAACTATCAACCAAAGAAATTGAAATTATTCCAGCAAAGATTATGGAGTCAAATTTTGCACCAAAGTGTGTATATAGTAGTCGTAAATCCGTGCACGCAGAAATAGAGATGAACAAATTTTTGCGTCATTTTTACTTAATGTTAGGGTAACTGTTTTTATTAAAAAATTAGTGCTTCGCATGAATAATATATTGTCATACCATATGTTACTTTTCATTTAAAAAAATTATTGCCGCTGCTGCCACAATCTACACAGTTTCTTTTGTTTTAAGCATGCTTGGAACTTCAACAAGGCTATTAGAATTGTATGTAAATGAAAACTAAGCTGACTGACTATGTACAGTTCATTTACATACAATTCTAATAAAGGCTAAAAGCATATATAGTTTATGTACATAAAAACTAGACTACAATATTTAATATTATTGAGGCATCTCGTAATTTGTAAAACCACAAGGATCAATCACTGTTTTTGCATAATCTCATCAGTTCTTCTTTATTGTCTGCTTTCGCAATGTTTAAAGTAGGATTATGTGAAAAATCCTTGGATGTTGAATGGAAAATTTGGATCTAGTTCTACAGGGTCAATAGGAAACTCCATCCCTCCAATTGGAGAATTGGTTGTCGAAGCATGGGCTGAAACTATTTCAGCAATATCAGATTCCATATGTTGCAAATTATGAACACCCCTAAATCGCTTCATCTCGTAGGTTGATGATGCCGAGAAGTAATTTGATTCAGACAGGGCTGGAGATACAACCAAAGGAGAATTTGCACCCAAGTGAAAGTCATCAGCAAGCGTGGAGATTGGAAAAATACGATTCTCAATGTCGACACTTGCAAATGTTGATGGAAACGAGAAGTGGGGCGGGATCTCTCTATTGTTTAGGCCCTCGGTGTCGACTCTGAGTTTTGCTCGCAAGTCGAAAAGCATCTGGTTTTGTTGCTGTGGTTTATGGTTCAATTCTTGTTTTTCTGGTGATGCAGGGGGCGGAACTGCATTATTTGATTGGTTGCACGTGTGCGTCCCTTTGTACGTGATCTCAAAAACGGTGGAATCATCATCAGACCTTTGCACTTGCTTTGTTGCCCAACAATTTTGAACGTGACGGTACGTGCATCTGTAATAGCTTCTGCAAACATATATATATATATATAAATGGATTTGTATTAGATTGACATCTACAAGAACTTTTTATTAGATTTGACTTAAAGCCTTTAATTGTTTTATAGTTGAAATTTGTCTTCCGTGTAGGATAAGACAACAAACCTAGGATATTTAGCTCCCAGAATGTCTTTCTGTCCATATTTTCTCCAACTATATCCATCATCATTAGGTCCTTCAAGTCCATTTTCAGAGGTAACTCTCAGTTGCTCTGTCCATGTGGGTAACATTTTTCTGCAAATATAAACCAATCGAGAAACATATTAGGATGAAAATTCCCCGAGTTTGGTACGGAAAACATTGCGAATTCCAAGTCACGATGAACTGAAAAAGTAAATATACCTCTTCTTTGATGTATCTCTGTGTTCTTGATGTTCCCTGAATGTCTTGTTCAATTCCTCACTTCGCGGACTTCCATCAACAGTTATTGACGATTCTGGTGCACCTGATGTTGGCGCAGGTCCTGTTGATCCACTCCACTTGAGAATCGATAGAGCTTTCTCGTAAGAAGATAATATCCTCTGCAGAAGCAGGTCCTGAGCTTCGGAAGGAGAAGTCGCGCACAAGTAAAACCGAAGCTGTTTAGCTTGCTCCATTCCTTGAGTGAGTTCGTTAATCAGCATCTGTTGTTCCCACTTCGAAGTGCTCTCCATTTTGTATGCTAACCTTCTCACGGGTAGTGCCGAAAAGAATTCGTTGAATTGGAGGATATGCTAGTTCATTCCAACTGTGCAAAATGCAAAATCTGATCGAGGGTGGGTCGGGTTTTTGATATTAAGAAAATCTTGCACTATGGTGAAAACTGGGTTATGGGTGATGCTGATTAAGTAGGTAGTGAAGCGTTTGAATATAAAGAGACCTTTTTGGATTGATTGTGGAAAAGAAAGTAGGAGAGTTGAATTTGACTGAGAAACCGAGTTTTTTTGTACTTGGACCGGTCAATGGTCATAAGGGAAGTGTATAGTGAGGGTCAAATGCTGACCAATTCAAACTCCCTCAAAGCACTGTTCCTCTTTGTCTCACGTGGCAAAATTGTTATAATGAAATTGAAGAATCATATTTTGGTGGCATAGGAGTGAGAATGATACACTTAAATTAACATGTTTCATTGGCTTTTTTTTCTTCTGTAATGTTATTTAATTCTATTTAATGCAACAATGACATATTCAATATGACTTAAAATTGTTGTCTAACATTCTCGATTCTTCAAAGTAACGTATCTTGTACTTGAAGCAGTAGGCTCACATTACAAGAGTCGATATTACATAATGTTGAATTGAATATGATAATTGTAATTCTTTTGTTCGATTCTATCAAATGTAATTTAAAAGGCTTTCTCGTTTATAAAATTAATGATTAAAAATAAAATGTTCTAGAAAGAGTGGAAGGTCCATCTGCTGACCAATTCAAAGCCCAAACCAGTCATGGTTATGATTGAAGAATAATGAAGTCAAAAAGTAGTTAACCTAAGGAATAATATTCAAATTCCGCGTCATTTGATTCTATTGGTTGGAACTGCTATACCTTTGGTGGGCAGATAATCATAATAAATATCCATCGCAAATTTTAGAAATAGTCACTCCATATTTTTATATAGAGAAAAGTGATAGCTAGGTGCTTTGCACATCTCACTCAGCGCCTCAAAATTTGACAAAATACCAAACTCTATTAAATAATTTGCTTCAATTTTGGTATTTAATTATATTAACCGTTTCCGCGTTATTGTGGAAATTTTCTCATGAAAAAGACTGAAAGTTAATTAAGTAAACCAAATTTAATTTTGTATTAAGCACTAACTCGTAATTACGTGTTTCAGATAAGGTGACATGCTTTATCCTTAAAGTTAAAATATCTGCATCCATATTCTTTTATTTTTTGTTTTAATAAATATTAAAAGTACACTATTCTAAATTATGTGTTAAGAGCAAGGGAACTTCGTGTTCCTCTTGAGTATGCCTCTCACGCGCTTAGAGTCCGATCAATGACCGATTCATGGAACACTGGTCCGTAAATGTAGTATTTATGGTTATGAATTTTAGTTGAAGGCAATAGTGGTGGTGCGTTGTAGGTGTTGGTGTTGGTGGTTGGTTGTTGATTGTGGTGTTGGTCTACGGTGCGTGCATATATGTTTGTGGTGAGTCCGTGTGATCACGTAACGTTACAGTTAAGATTGACCCGATCACATACAATCATATTGAAATCAAATTTGGCCACAATTAATCACAATGAATACAAATTTAACCACAATTAGTCACAGATAACACGGGTCAATGACTTAGTTACATACAATGAATTGAAATTTTTTTGGGGGTGGGGGAGAGGTAGGGTAGGGTAAGGTAGGGTGGTTCCTTGGGGTGGAGTGTAATCTCCACTTTTCAATTTTTGAAATTTTTTTGGGGGGTAGGGTTGGGGTGGGATGAGGATGGGGTAGCGTAGGGTAGGGTGTAATCTCCAATTTTCAATTTTGAAGATTTTTGGAGGGTGAAGGTGGGTGGGTAGGGTGGTTCCATGGGATGGGTGTAATCGCTAGTTTTCAATTTCTGTAAAAAAATTCTTGGGGTGGAGGTAGGGTGAGGTGGGAGCGAATATGTAGATTAAATTGGACTTTGGACTTATCCAAAAAATGAGTCTATTCCTCGTGGGAATAAGAAACAATGGATATATTTGAAGACAAGGTTGCACTCAACTACTTCTTTGGTCTCCCGTTATTACTTAAAACAAAATAATATTCTTGGTCATCTAATAATTTTTCTGGAAAAAAAAGTTACTTTCTTTACATGCTTTGTGTTATTAAATAATACTTCAAAATAAAGAAAATGGATTTCAAATTATGTAAGGTAAAATTTTATGGCATGTATAGTTAAATGGACGGCAGGATCTTATGAATATCGTGAGTGTAATGAGATAGAGAATTCATTAGATAAAGAAGTTTAAATATATAAAACTATCAATCAACTCTTCATTATACATAGTAAGTTCATTCTCTTTTATTGCATATCCTTAGAAGATATATATATTTCAATCCATTATATAGTTTGATCTTTCAGAATGGTCCCTCTCTTTAATCCTGCAGACAAAAATCAGAAAACTTAGCTTGGGCGGTAAATATATTGTTGAAACAAAATATGAGTACACGCATTTTACTGTAGTTGCAAAAAAAAGAACTATTTATATTAGATCTTAGTACTAAACCGAGCATATATAATTTGTAGTAACTTCAATTATTTGTAGCATTGTTAGATAGTGTATGAAATTTGGAATTCATAGTCATATTAAAGAAATTTAAATAAATAATTAAGCTTTTAGAATATGAAAGTACCTTCTTTTTCCGAGCATCGTTATCACTGTCACTGTTGCTACTATCACTGCTATCAGTGTGTTTTCTTTCTTTGCTCTTCTTCTTGGTCTTGTTCTTATGCTTGTGCATATTCA